GATTACCCTGCCAGTTCTATCATCAATCTTCGTCCCCTTGTTTCCTTCCTTGGAGCAGGAGTGGCGTCATTATGCGCCCTAAGCACTCGAGAGAGAGTCGATTGCGATGTTATAGCAATTTCTGCAATTTTTCTCGTGGACTTGACTTCTTTTGAGAGGGCAATAATAGATGCCTTAAGTGGTTCTGATGCGTGTTTGTACGCTTTCATCTGGTTAGTGACTTGAGTGGCTATTTCAAGCTGTTTTTTTTATAATGAGATGAGAATATTCTGGAATACTCTAGATTTAATTTAAGCTGTTCTAGAATTCTCTAGAATATTGTTCTGAGTGTATTGTAAAATAGTTTTCAATATTTTGTCAAAAGCTCTTTAAATTTACCAGTTTAATCATTAGAATGCGATATCTGAGTCACTTTTTTTTGCACAGAGTTTTTTCCTGAATCTCATTTATATCCAAATTTATAATTATCAATAGAATACCTTAGGGTGAATAAACTTTTTTCCTAGGTGGTCGGGAAGGGGTCTTTATATTAGTAAGATTAAAAATTATTTTAACCCAAAAAAAACAATAGATAAAAAATATTTTTAGTAAAAAAAAAAATCAATATGGATAATCTTTTATCAAACATAACCGCCTGCTATTTATATATACAATCCTTTTATACACCTTCTCAGGCATATTCATATTTGTTCAACACCTACGGGCCCTACTTGTGGTTTGTACTGCAACTATGCTGGATGGACCGTAATTGCGTTTTATACGAGAGAGTGCATAATCTGTATTTTTTATGCTTTACAAAGAGCCACTCGAAGTAGAGGGTTTCAGAGTAAGAGGCAAGGTTGATAGGGACAAGTGTGCGAAAATAATGGTTAACCCTAGACTTGGACAGGGAAAAATTCTAGGTATCAAGAAGCATCTTCTTGACAGTCGGTTCTATAAAACAGCAGTTCGGCCATGATCTTTATAAAGTTTGAACGAAAATTCAGTTCACTGAAACCCTCTGTCACGAACTTTTCGCAATCGCTTAATTGATATCACAATCATCGAATTCATAAACATCAAGACATCAAAACATATAAATTAAGTAAAAGACGGAAATTAGAGACATTGAATTTGAAAAATTTTTGTTCAATACCTTATAATTCCAGCATTTTTATTCTCAAATGATGTCTCTTCCAGCAGGCCACGACGTTAAGCTTCAGACATACGCTCGTAAGCAATATTTAGGCGTTCGACATTGCTTGCTGTTATGCCGGTTCAATGTACCCATTTTCGTTTAAAGGTGAAAATAAATTTTAAAATTTTGGTAACCATATATGAAAAGAGGTCTTTTGAAGAATAATATAGTTGCTCTGTCATGAGACAGTGAACATCTCTCCTCTTCAGTATCAGAAGCCAGCAGAGAATACGTAAACAACCTTCACTTTCACATGCTATTCTAGGAATTAAATTATCACTTAACGTATATATCTAAATCCTTATTCAATAAACGATTTCTTTTTTTGAACTAAATTTGATAGTCAAGTTACTATAAATTCGTTTTCCCAACTGCACATTTCCCTTGAAAATACAAAAACAATGTACATGTTCAATGTAATTATGCTCCACTAATCGCTTAAGTTATTGGAGAGTTAGAGATTATGATATTTCATGAAAGATATTTGATTTAGAATAATTATAATTCAGTTTTTATTTAAGTTTTTAAGTAAAAAAAATCATGAATTATTCCGAATATTTGAACCTTTATAATTTTTTTCTTCAAATTAATACAATATTTCCACAGCACTTCATAGCTTTCGGTTAATATGCAAAAAGTAATGGGAAAATTTTATTTATAAAATGTGTTATTTATAAAATTTCGAGTAGAAAAGATATTAAACAATTTTTGAAAATATCACAAAAATAAAAGGATTAAATTACCTTTATAATCCTTGTAAGCATTTCACTAGATAAATTCTTCAAATTAAAATTATTTTTACGTGGAACGATTTAGAACATTCAAAAGTTCATAATATTCTATTTTCCTCATCTTATAATCGTTTTTCAACAATAATTATCATCATGTGGAAAGGCAAGGAACTATCAAATTCACAAAAAGAATTGATCATCAAACATTGAAAGGAAGACAAAAGCTATAGGAAAATAGCAGATATCCTGAATATACTAATTACTCCTATTCGTTCCGTTATTGCTAAGTATAACAAGGTGAAAACTGTTGAGAACAAATTGAGATCTGGTGCACCATGCAAGATCTCTCCCAGATCTGCCAGTTATGTGTCATGCATGATACATACTTAGTCGATCATGTATCTGCAGTAGGTTGCCATTTCTTTCTGCGGTAGTCCACTTGCCATCCAAGGCTATTTACTCACAGCTGGGGGAAGAAGAGGATTCATACCTTTTCCAAGGGTCAGTCAGTTATGTGCCATGCGTGAATCATGCTTTCGATACATGAACGACGAGGCAGATGTTTTTTCCGAAGTAGGTTGCCATTTCTTTCTGCGGTAGTCCAGTTGCCATCCAAGGCTATAGAACTCACTCTATCCCGCTATTTGCCCATAGCTGGTGAGGAGGGAGAAGACGATTCATGCCATTTCCAAGAGTATTAGCACGTAAGTGAACGTAATGGATTCTACTTGAATTCGAAATCGGCTCTCCGATTCCTCAATCCGAGCCGCTAACCATTACTCCACCGTGCCTCCTTCTCCACCTAGATCAATGAGAAGAATTCAGCTCAGAATTCAAGAAAATCCAATGACTACTCGAAGATGAATACAGGAAGAATTAAAGGCATCAGGTATTATTGTTACGAAGTGAACAATAAGCAATGAAATTCGTAGAAGTCAACTAACTTCGCGTTCTCAAAAAAAAAAAAAAATTCCACTACTACTGAGGTAAAATCGGAATACCCGGTTAAAATTTGTTCGTGAGCATAATACACTGAATCATTTTGGGAAAGTATTTTATGAACAAATGATGCTAAACTTGAACAATTTCTGCGTAATTCAAGAACTCACGTTTGGAGAAAAGACGACACAGCCTTTGCACAGAATAACAATCCCAACAGTGAAATTTGGTGGTGACAATATCATGTTTTGGGGATATTTTTCTGATAATGGTACGAGCAATTTAAAGATATTAGATGATATAATGAATTCAATAATATGCCAAAATATTTTGGATTAATTTGTTTGGGTCACTAGTAAAGTTTGTTCTGCCAAATGAATGGGTTCTGCAACAAGACAATGACCCTAAACATATTGCGAAATCGACGGAAAAATGTCTTTTTGAAAATAATGTCAGTACACTGGAATGGCCATCACAGTCTGCAGACTTGAATCTAATAGAGAATTTGTAGCGTTTATTAAAAATTCAAGTTAATAAAAGAACTCCGAAAAAACATCCTGGACCTAAAGAGAATATGCAAAGAAGAACGGCGTAAACTACCAACGAAAACTTACAAATCATTGACTAAAAGCTACAGAAAGAGACTGATTTCTGTTGAATTGAGTAAGGGATATGCTACAAAGTATTAAATAGGTATTATAATTTTCAGTATTTACATTAGTCGGACTATTGTCCTCATCTTTGTCGCCATATTTGTCACAACGTTTCGGCTGTTGTACGCTCCGGCCTTCTTCAGGTGGTTGGAATTTCGAACTGAACCCTTTATTTCGATCACTGGGGGTAGACTGTTCTAGTTCCACATGCCATGTTTGATGGATGTCAGTTATCAGTTATCTCCTGCTAATTTTCCCTCTGAAAGTTCTCCACTGCCTTAACCAGGAATTGAACTCACCTTCTTTTGGGTCTGTCACTGGATCTAACCAACGCCTTTATCCACTGTGCCATGTGTCCTTGAGAACCACCTGAAGAAGGCCGGAGCGTACAACGGCCGAAACGTTGTGACAAATATGGCGACAAAGATGAGGACAATAGTCCGACTAATGTAAATACTGTACATAATACCTCATCTCAGAAATATTATAATTTTGTACGAATACTTTTTTCGCCTCCAAATTCTTTAATTTCATTAATATAACAATTTTTTCTGAATTCTTTTGGCATGTTGCAGCATTATGTCATGGTATACACTGTTGTATTGGTTATAAAATTCTTTTATAAAATCTGTTAAATAAAAAAAATTCACGGTGTACGAATATCCCCCCCCACACACACACACACTGTATGTGGTATTTTTTGTAGTGAGATAAACTTATCTATAATAAGGGAAAAGGACATGTGATAAAGCAGATAAGTGTTGAAGTAGTTTACTTGATGATAAACAGGAAATTATTCACACATTAATTTCTGAAATTCGAGATCCGATAGAAATGAGACATTCATTGTAGAACAACACACCATTCAGGTGTCAGTAGAAAGTGAGAATTATGTGAACAAAGATGATAGATAAAGGCAATAAAGCCACTAGGACGCAAGGGGTTACTGATTGTAAGAGAATGACCATTAAAGAAAAGTCAATAAAAGAACAAAAATTTAGACGGAAGATAGAGATTGACATTGATTTTCAAAAATTTAAATGCAAAGGTGGCAGAAGCAAGAAGCATTAATTAAGAAGGAATTTTACAAAGAGAAGTGCGATAGAAGTAAAAATAAGTGAACATTAGCATAGAACTTACGGTTACATCTAGTTATTTCAACTGTAAAATGATGAGACCTTGCAATTACCATGCATTTATAGGACAGACACTGAGGAGCTACGTTACGGCGGTGGGAAAGCGACTGAAGCAGATATGCCAGGTCAAGACCAACATCATTGCAGATTTTTCTTTGGATTTTATCAGGAATCTAACTAGATAGCAGGTCGTCCTGGATCAGATGATAGATTACATCCAACAGAAAGGCCTCTGATCAGGAGGTTTTGAGGAGCGTGGAACCACCTCTTAATTGCTGGTATTCCCAGGTCCACCCTGGTCCGGGGTGGTAGTACCTGTTAGAAAGTAAAAAGGGTTAGCAGTTTCGTTTCTGAGGCGTTAAAATTAACAAACCGCTCTGTCCCATAGTAGAGGTGTAATTATTAGGAGAGAGAGAGATTGGAGAGAGAGAGAAGAGAGAGAAAATATAGAGAGAGAAAGAGAGAGAAGGAGGAGAGAGAGAGAGGAGAAAGAGAGAGAGAGAGAGAGAAAGAGAGAGAGAAGAAAGAGAGAGAAAAGAGAGAGAGAGAGAGAGAGAGAGAGAGAGGAGTGAGAAAGAGAGAGAGAAAGAGAGAGAGGAGTGAGAAAGAGAGAGAGAAAGAGAGAGAGGAGTGAGAGAGAGAGAGAGAGAGAGAGAGAGAAAGAGAGAGAGAGAGAGAGAGAGAGAGAGAGAGAGAAAGAGAGAGGAAAGAGAGAGAGAGAGGGTGAGTGAGAGAGAACGATTGAGAAAGAGGAAAAGAGAGAGAGAAATCGAGAAAGAAAGAGGAGAAGAAATGAAATATCAAATAAGAGAAAGAAAGAAAGAAAGAAAAATAGAATTAAAAATAAAAGAAAATGGAAGGAGAATTTCAATGAGGGGAAATGAGAAAGAGGTGAGTGAGAAAGAATGAGTGAGTGAAAAAGATATATGAGACTTAAAAATTTAAAGAAAAAAAGAACAAATGGATACAGAAAGAGAGGAGAGAGAAAGAGAGAGAAAGAAACTTAAATATTGGGTAATAAAGAGAAGGAAAAAGAACATCGTGAACACAACATGTCGGATCTTAACGGTAAAAAGTTGAAACTGGTGGAACTAAGAAACAAAAATGGGTCTCGTTCAACCCCTCTGTGTGTGTGAGTATATATATATATATATATATATATATATATATAAGGAGTCCTCGATCCATTCCTACGTTGCAATGTAATCTGATTTTCGACGTACGTCGGAACTCACCTACAGAAGCACCCACGAATCTGCCTTCCGCTTGGGAGGTATAATGAAGAGCAAAAAGTAAACCCCCGCCCCCCACCAAAAAACGACACAAACGAGAGATAGCGAATGTAGCACAATCCAATATGGCAGAGTCTATGAAGAAACAAAAGCGTCTTCCTCATATAGCACCGCGTGACAACATATTATACTATAGGAGATGGTTCCGTAACCACGAAACGCTGTACGTCGGGTCCGACGTAGCCTCTGTGTGTGTGTGTGTGTGTGTGTGTGTATTTATTAGTATATCGTCTTTAGTCATTTTCCCGCCGCCGAAACGTAGCTTCGCTGTACCTTTTTATAAATATTTTCATTGTAATTGTTCTGATGAGTTATCTTCTTTGCTTCAACATATTCTTACTACAGTCACCATAATACATCAAAGTCTCTATGGTAACTAATTCAGAGTACATAGATACTTTGAGGTATTATAGTAGCTGTAGTAAGAAGAGTAAGTAAGAATGTGCTGTTTTAGTGTAAGGAATATTGTATGTTTGGGTCAGTAATCGCGGCTAGAGAAGTTCAAGATAAGAGATTGAAAACCAACCTTCCCCTATCCCCACTTTTGACCTTGTGTCACATTTTTGTATTTTTCAAAATAAATATTGCTTTCTTTTTTGATACATCAACTTTATGAATTTAAATGTAGTACTAGATTGGCAGCTAGGTCTCATTGTTTTACAGTTGATATTGCTTTATGTAACCCTAAGTTACATGTTAAATTTCCTCTCTCGCAATTGGCCAGGACACAGAATCGAAACGCATTTAGATATATTAATTCTTTTGAAAAATGTGTAGAATAAATGAATTCGTCAGTCATATCTCAATTGGGTATTCCATTTCTCCTCGCTCGTCCAGACCCTCTTCCAAAAATGTGATTTATATATTAGGGACTTCAAACACAATATGGCACAGAAATGTAATTATCTGGTTCGTACAAGAAATGATGGAAAATGTCACAGGGACATTAAAAGGCGAGTAGGCATCACGAAGAATGGTAGAATACAGCGTTTAGCTGTATGCTGTCTCATAGAAACACACTGATATTCTTTCATGACAAAATAATTGTTCTGTAATAAAAGAAATGTATTTAGTTAAAATGTTTTAAACTTTTATATGAACCTGCTATTAAGTAAGACGTGTCCTCAGGCACGGGAAGGGATAGTTGAATCAGTAGCCTGGGAAAGTTGACTTTATTCGATGAATTTGGATCCTAACCCCGTCGGCAGTCAGGCTGACGTCTTCGATGTTTTTTTTTTTTTTCTAAAAAAAAATTTTTCATCGTATTCTACGAGTATTTAAAGAAATTTCAACTTTTATTATTACAGTCCGCCAGACATGGAAGCAGACAAGAAAAAAAAAAAAAAAAGATATGCAAACCATTTACTACCATTCAAATAGGAAACGTATAAGAATGGCATCATGTATATGTGCTATATATATATATATATATATATATATATATATATATGAACTGATTATTAAAATAAGTATGAACTGATTATGTTAAAATAAGCAATATCTATAATATATATATATATATATATATATATATATATATATATCGATTTCTTTTTAGAATATATAATTCCCAAGAGGATAGAATCCAGGTAGAACTCAATGTCCAGGACAGAGTAAGACTATAATATAAATAAAAAGCTCAAACAATAATATTCCATGGTTATAATTTATTACATTGGAATCGTAATCACGATCAAATTCATCAGACCTACAAATTTAGAAAAAAGAAATCGGAATATATCTACAAAAACACATTTATATATAATATATATATATATATATATATATATATATATATATATATATATATATATTTATAATATCTGCTTATTTTTAACAATCAGTTCATAACCTTAATATATATATATATATATATGATTTAAAAATGAAACAAAAAACAAAGTAATAAATATTAATAGCATTATTATTTACACTGTTGACGTGCGGACTATTGTCTTCATCTTTTTTGTTATCGCAACGTTTCGAGCGTTGTGACCTCCGGCCTTCATCAGATGTATGTAGATCCGGATAACATACAGGAAATTTAGAATTGAATCCTTTATTTAATCTACGGGGTTAGACTGTTCTTGTTCTACTGCTCATTTCCAGAGATATCTAGTTTTATTTTTAGTACTGCCAAAAATTTAAAAAAAAAAAAATGAAATTTTTGGTCTCTGGTCGTCGATCCTGATAAGGTAAGCTTAACGTAACAAAAATCCCAGCAAATTTTTCTCACCCAGTTTTGTCTACATCCTACATGAAGACGCCCGAGTTTCGGTCACATAATGTTGAAACACCGGCTCTCGTGCGATCATCCAAGTGAAGTTAAGCAATGTCGAGCCTGGTTAGTAACAAGATGGATGACCGCTTGGCAATACGTCGTCCATTTAAAAAAAAGAAAAAAAAAAAGCTATTTCCTTTGTCCCATTATCTCCGCTTTTGTTTCAGATACTATCCTACAACCTACGCGCACGCATATTACACATACACGAGATAGAGAAAGTTTGTCAATTATTTTAATATATTTTATTGTTATACGTTATTTATATAGACATAAATATTAAAGTAAATGCTCTGTTTATAATAAACAGAATTAACAACATTTACCGGCCTGAAAGTCCGAGAAATTGATAGAAAATGTGTCCTTGTACACGAATTGAACCTTTATCCTACATGGAACCATCGTATAACCTGATGAGCTATGCCACTTTAGCTACAGAGGAGCGTCTGGTTAGCTATATGACGGTTTCGTGTAGGATACAGGTTCGATTTCTCTCAGAGGACACATATTTTCTATGAAAATTTCTCGGACGTTCAGGCCTGTAAATGTCAGTACTGTTTATTATAAACAGAGCATTTACTTAAATATTTGTGTCTATATAAATAACGTATCACAATCAAATATATCAACACACACAGCAGTTTTTAATTGAATCAGGTTTGGTTAAGAGACAGATGTTTTTCTTTGTGAAGGATTATTTTTCTATGTTTCGAGACATTTTCCTAGACTCTGGTTCATAGTAAATCGCCTATCACCATTCAGCACAACAATTAACAGACAGAATAAAACTCCGACAGACAATTTCCAGATCGACATGTTACGAAAATGTCCTAAGAATTTAACACGCAAAATGGTTTCCTATCGGGCAGCATTTAAGCTAGGTGGGTTATTATTGGGTCTTCAATAACAATAATGAAAGGCAAAACGTATCCCAACCCAAAGGAAAAAAAGACACAAACGAGAGATAGCAAATGTAGCACAATCCAATATGGCGTACAGCCGGTGAAGAAACAACAGCGTCTTCCTCATAATAAACTACAGAACTCAAAATTAATCGCTGCATTTAAATATTGCATTAATATTTAAGCATACCTTTGAAAAGTTCAATGATAATTCTTCTGCCGCCACTTAATTTAAAGACAATTTAATGTACGTAGGTCCTTACTTTCCGTACAAAAAAATTATTTTTATTTCATGGGTGACTTTGGCTGGATTTCGCAATCTCGATTATTCAATTTCTAAGTAATAAAAATAGTTACCGTACAAGAAAAATAATCGCAAAAAACACCAAAAAAAAAAAAAAAATAGACGAAAAAAATAGACGAAAACAATCGCAGTAATGAAAACTTGGGAATCCATAATTTCAGGATTACAGGTCCAGTTCTGGTTCAGGAATGTTTTTTAATTTCAACAGAATGGCTTGATTCCAAAATGGTATATGTTGGGCTACAGCCTCTAGGAATAAAGTTGAAAAAGTGTGACACAGTGACATTGACATTTATTATATATATAAATATATATATATATTTTCCTAGAAAAAATATGTGAAAAACGAAAAAAAATCCTAATATGCAATTATGTTATTTTAATGTAAATATAATGTCAACGTCGGATGTTTTTTTTTTTTGTTTTGAAACTATTTTTTTGAGCAAATCGGATATATATATAGAATATATATATATTTATATCCTTTTGTTTAAAAGGAATTTTCCCCCTCCCCATTTTCATCCTCTGAAACAACTTTAAAAACCAAATGTAAAGGGTTTTATTTTGCAACAAGTATTTTAAAAAATTAAAAAATATTGTTGGTTTTCAAAATTATTAAACTGAAGAATGCTCATAAATAACTTTAGCCTAATATTCTTATGGTTTCATGTTCTTTGTCCTACACTTCATTGAATATCGTTGTAAAATCGATGAAATACAAGAATGGGTCTTTTAGCATTTTGAATGCACATTCTAACAGTATCTTGATCAAAAAAATTGCTTTTCTTATAAAAAAAAGTTATCTCCCCGACATATTTGATTACTTTATGATAATTTATGAAGAAAATTTTAGAAATGATTAAGTTTAATTTTTATAATACTATTTCAAAATTTCTGTAATGAAAAAAAAAGATCTTGAATTAATCAATTTTCTTTTCTTAATAAGATTTTTTTATCAATTTACAAAATTTTAAATAGCTGAAAATTAACACAATATATAGAAAACATCAGACAATGCCAAAAAAAACAGATCAACAAGTCTGCAGTTTGACAGAATTTTGATCAAAATATTCCACTATAAACTTTTTTAGCTGTTTTGTATAGAAGGAAGGAGATTATGTTGAAAAAATAAATTGTGCGTTTTTTTTTCCTA